GAACACTCCATTTTATTGGTTAAGATTTGTCGGAAATCACATATTTTGTGTATCCCACATTTTATTTAATGAGTATCTCTTGATTTAGTAGTAGAACTTAATAACCTTTATGATTTTCAATCAATAATTAATATTTTGGTAGTAAAGTGTGTTAGAGTAAATGTCACAAGCATTTCTCTTGTGCAATTATTAGAGATTCTATGTAATTATTATAGGTAAAATAAGAAAGATAAAAGGTTTAAATATGTTTTTAATATCTTAAATTTAGAGTAAATTTGTTTTTAGTCTTTCAAATTTAAAACAATTATTTTTAGTTCCTATATTTTTCAAAAATATTGTTTGTCTCTTGAGACATCAATAACATATCTAAAAGTGACAAATAAAATGACAGAATGAGTTAGTTATATAATATCAGTTGAGTTTAATATAATATATTCATTAATAAAAACAATAATAAATAAATTTTATGCAACAATATTTGACAAATTTTTTAACAAAATTTGAGTATGAGAACTACAATAAAATTTTTTGAAATTACAAAAACTAAAAATAACAATTTTGAATTTAAGGAATCAAAATAATTTTTTCTAAAATTAAAGTATTAAAAATATATTTAAATTGAGATTAAAATAGACACAAAGTGTGATTATTTCCTTATAAATTATTAGCATAGATGAAGTGTATGTATGATTTCATATTAAACATCCACGTTCAACAGCAAAATCACATCATTGATGGAGAAACTATCTCAAGTAGTTTCATTTTGGAGAGGAGAACCAAATCAAAGATGCAGTAAATAATCAACATTGAAGGTGCATAAGACTCAAACAAATGGGCTACAAGTGGGCTTTTGGGCCATAGAGGGTTCAGATCGAATCCAATCCAATGACGGAAAGAAAAAAGCGCAATGACGAAAACACCCCTTCCATGCCGTTTCCCTCTTACCAGGCTGTCGGAATCGTAACGGCTAGTTACTACCGAAGATTTCGTTTTAAAAATGTCTTCTTACGTTATCACAATACGACATCGCCTGCGCGACCAAAGCAAAAAACAAAAACAAAAGCAACACGCTCCGCTCCTAAGAAAAGAGGTTATGGCGGAAACTCGGTGTTTGCCAATAATCGAAGAAGAAGAAATAGAAGTAGACGATGACTTCTACGAGAACATGGAAGCGCCCAAGTTCGTGGACCTCACCGCACCCGATTCTCGCCGCCCCGACGATGACCGACACTGGTTCTGCTTCCGCGTTGGTATTTTTCCCTTCGTAGTTCACACATTTCACATCTTCTTTCAAGTCTTCGCTCTTTTTCAGCTTCGTTATATGAATTATGTGACATTTTCCAATAGGATGTGACCAAAAGCACGAGCAAGAATTGGACTCGGAGGCTATTTACAACAACTTTGTTCTTCGGGTGCGCTTTACTTTTTTTCTTCAACTCGGTTTCACTCTCTCCCCTTATGGACATGAATATGATGACACGTGGATGTTGGATTTCAGGTTATGGCTGCTAGAAGTCCCAATGTACGACTCAGAAAAGCTTTGAATAGAAGAGAAGCAAGGTAACTAGTATTAGCACTCACTTTAGATTAATGATGTTTATTTTTTAATTGTGGTACCATGTAAGACCTTTTTATGGCAAGAAGTGAATGTTTTAAATTGTAGTTACACTCTTTACTTTTCATCCTTGA